TTGTGCCACGTTGCTTATTTTTAAATTTCTACAATATTTAGACATTTATTAGAGAAAAAATTCAATAAATGTTACATATTTTACAGAGAAAAATTCAGGGTTTGTTTTTAACATCGAAAGAATCATACAGGGAGACTGGTTAGAAGACTGAGTGACTAGAAGATAAACTCTGATTTTTAAAAGGCTAATCCTTCCACAATTTACTTTTGTAATGCTGTAATGCTTTCCAAGTACTACCATATGCATTACAGCTCAAAGGCACTTAACAACAATCATATGTATTTGGGGCCGTGGTGGCTCACCATGTGGCAGACCTCTGGCCTTCCAGGACTGCAAATTATTTAAGAATAGATCTTGGAATGCTCTTTTTGACAATGACGGTGATGCCGTTCTTCATGTGCCATTCCCAAGACAGTTGACCATGACTGCCCGATTCAGAATGGCCATTACCAATCTAGATTGGTCACTAACGCCTAGGATTTTAATTTTTATGCATTCTGTTTTTGACAACTTGCAGTTTTTCCATATGCATACTTTGGCATTCCACATTTCCGTGAATGATGTTTGCAGCGGTTTCCTCTCATTTTGAGTGATGCGTATCAGTAAATAATGGTCTTGGAAGCTTTACTCCATGCACATCATTAGGTTGACTCTACTTTGAGGAGGCAGCTCTTCCTCAGTCCAATTTTAAGTGCCTTCCAAACTGACGGATTCATCTTCCAGCACTGTCAGGTCAAAGCTCTACTCATATTCCTAAATTTTCACTAGTCAATTTTCTCAGAAGTAAACTGCCAGGTACTTCTTACGTCTTTCTTAGTCTGGAAGCTCCAATGAAACCTGTTCATCATACATGAGCTTGCTGATACTCAAAATACCAGTGCCATAGCTCCCAACATCACAACAACATGCCAGCCATCACCATACAACAAACATTTCTCAGGTTGTTGTTGTTGTTGTTAAGTGCCGTCGAGTCAGTTCCGACCCATAGTGACCCTGTACAGGGTTTCCGAGGATGTAAATCTTTACGGGAGTAGAAAGCCTCATCTTTCTCCCGCGGAGCAGCTGGTAGTTTCGAACCGCTGACCTTAAGGTTCGCAGCCCAATTCGTAACCACTACGCTACCAGAGCTCCTTTAGCTGTTAAATGCCTTAAAGTTAATTCCAACTCATAGTGACCGTATATAGGGTTTCCAAGGAGTGGCTTGTAGGTTTGGACCGCTGACCTTGCAGTTAGTAGTCCAGTATTTATCCTACTGCACCACACCAGGATGAACACAAAGTTAGGAGGCTGTAAATCCAAATTTACAGTCCCAGTTCTAGGGAAAGTTTCTTTCTCTGTGTTGACTCTAAAAGGTCCTTATCTTTTTTCCAACATCTTAAGGGCCATCCTTTGGTGTAGATCTATATGAGTCTTGGCATAAAATTTCCCCTGGGTCTAGGAGGGTCTCAGCACAGGGACCTTGGGTCCACAGGATGCACTCTGTTCCCAGTTTTTCTTTCTTGGTAGTAGTAGGTCCCTGCTTTATTCTTTGATATCTAAAGAGAAACTGACCCAAAGTGCATCCTAATCCTGTAGGTTGCATTCTGCTCCTTCATTCAGTAAGTTTCTGCTAGACAGATAAAATGCTGCAAGAAGAGCACTCTCCTGGTTCTTCAAACTTCACTGGATCACCAGGTTGGGCTTACTCTGTCCAGGTACTGATGCTCCACAGAACAAGACCCACAGAGCAATTATCTATATGACAACCCACAACCTGGGATAAAAACCAGGTACAACATTCTCCACACGTGTATTGACAACAATCTATAAAGGCCACATAACAGGACTGGAGTGTTCCCTCAGCGGGGATGGCTAAAGGAACAATTTCTGGGTAGATCCTTCCTGCCGGAGGCCTTTTTGTTGTGCTGAGATATGGACTGGAATGTCCATGTGGGGACCCTCATTCCTGCTCACAGGCAGTGCTTACCTGGGCTTACTAATCAGAGATGATAGTAGATAGGGATTATTGGTTATAAGGAACAGAAACAAGAACTTGTCTCAAGTAATAGGTTTTAGTATGTGGCCTTGCAGGAAAAAGAACAGCCCATTGAGGAAACCTTACTGAGAGCTATAAAAGCCAGGCCAGCAGGCTTCAGGGAGCAGGGGTCAAAAGACAGGGTGATCCAGAGAAGCAGTGATGCCTGAGATGGAGGCAGAGATGATGACGTGGAGAGATGGAGCAGCTGGGGACTTTAGACACAGAGAGGGAGAGGGGCTGTGTGCTGATGACCGGGGGGCAGGCTTGTAGTGTATACCCTTTGGTTGGTTGATGATGCATGGAGGGGACTGTAACCATGGCAACAAAATGATATACGATAGGATGAATGGAAAACTAATGTTCTCCCATGTAAACTATCACATAATTCATAATAAAACATTAAAAAAAAAAAAAGACGAAAACTTGCCCAGTCCAGCAAAAAAAAAAAGACAGGGTGATCCAGAGTAGGGGAAAGGGTCCTCACCTTCCACAAGTGTCAAAGAGCAGAGCATGTGGGAGGGTGACCTGGACCCCTCACGGTCGGGCAGCTGTGGGAGCCTCAATGACCTCTACCATGAAATGGCCATATCATCCCTTCAGTGGCATCACAGGCAGAGACCAAAAGTGAGCACTTCTCCTTATGATCATGCCCCTTAACACAGTATTTTTCCTGGGTTTACTTTTTGATGCTTCAGCAGAAACAAATGTATATGAGTTCATTATCATACCAGGTGCCACCTAAGTACCTATAAGAAGCCAGGCACCTGGGACCTCTTCAAGGTTTCTGAGGTAGGATGACTGTCTTGTGATGATATCCGCAGTACCATTGTTGCGGACCATGTAAGACTGGTCAGAGGTTCAAGGCCCTATAGGCCCGAGTGTAACAAATGAAGCCACTTGGCAGTTAATAGCAGATTGTTTTTCATCAAATTGTTTAGTCATATTTATTTAATTCCAAACATGAGCCCTGGATGTCCACAGAGAAATGCAATATTCCCCTAAATTTCT